ATTCCAAGTCCCCTCGATTACCCGACCGGTTGTCGTCTCCAGCCGGTATGTCCCCGGTCGCACGACCGCGCTGATGACGTACGACCCTTCCCAATTTTGAGCTAGTTTTCCACCTTCCAAAGGTTGACTGGCCTCCCTTCGCCGTAAAACGTAATCTCCCACCTGAAAATAATGAGGGTTGACCCGGACGTCCTTTGAACTTTTGACTCACTTCTAATACTCGGCCATACGCCGAGCGGCTAGCTCTCTCTTCTCCTCGACCCCATCGAGGTCCACGACCATCGCGTGTTCGTTCTCCTCCGCGTTGTAAGTTCTTTCTCGATCAGTCGGGATCCAGGCCTCGATCGGGAGTCGGGCTTCTGCTCCGTAAACCAGGGTGAAAGGGGTCTCCAAAGTAGCCTCCCTCGGGGTCGTCCGATAAGTCCACAATACATATGGTAACTCATCGGCCCAACTACGACCAGCAGAGTGTAACTTCTTTTTTAGACCTTCCAAAATCGTCCGGTTGGCATTTTCTACTTGTCCATTTCCCTGCGGATAAGCCACCGACGAACGGACGTGGGTCGTCCCGATCGTGGCCAAGAAGTTTTGGAAATACTGGCTTACGAATTGGCGGCCGTTGTCGCTGATGAGGTGCACAGGCACACCAAAGCGGGAAATGACATTGCGCCAAAGGAACCAAGCACACTGCTGAGAGGTGATCGTGGCTAACGACTCGGCTTCAATCCACTTGGAAAAATAGTCAATGGCGACAATTACGAACTTTCTCCGACCGGAGAGTTGAGGGAAGGGACCCAAAATGTCTACCCCCCACCTAGCGAAGGGAATCGCAGTCGTGACCGGTTGATAGAAGGTTGCCGGTCGTCCAGGCATCCGGGCAAACAATTGGCACGTCTCACATTCCCGAGCTAACTTTTCACAGTCTAGCTGGAGGGACGGCCAATAATACCCGATCAGCATGATACGACGGGCTAGTGATCGGCCTCCTTGATGTGAAGAACATATACCTGAATGCAATTCCTTCATAACCAAATCTACCTCAAATGCGGTCAAGCAACGCATAAGAGGGCCTCCATACGATCGCCTGTAAAGACGACCGTCCAAGACTTGGAACCTCGGGGCTCCAAGCTTGGCCTTCCGAGCACGCTGGGGGTCGTCTGGGAGCCGACCGTGCTCGAGGAACTCCTTCAGATCGGTGATCCAATTGTCTTCTACCGGTTGGATTGGATTGACCGGCAAGCGATGGATGCTATGTCTCGGGATCACCAAAATCCGGGCTATCTTCAACATGTGTTCCGGGGCGTCTTGCGCCAATTTGGACAGGATGTCCGCATCGGCATTATCCAATCGGGATATGTGCCGGACGGTATACCCCCGGAACTGAGTGAGCTTCTCCCTGGCAAGGTCTCGGTATAATTGTAGACATTCTCCATTGACTTCATAATCTCCGAGAACCTGCCCGACCACGAGCGCGGAGTCTGTTTGAGCTCGAATGTATTCAGCCCCCAAGTCCCGAGCGCACTGTAAGCCATTGAAAAAGGCTTCGTACTCGGCTTCATTGTTGGTCGGATGGAACTGATACATGAGGGCGAAATAGACTTTGAATCCCTCCAGGCTCGTGACCACCACTCCTCCTCCTGCTCCTTTCTTGCTACTCGACCCGTCAGTAGCCAGCGACCACCACTCAGCCTCGGGATCCGCTACCTCGGGAGGTCGGGTATCCCGGGCGGTGCACTCGACCAAGAAATCACCAAGGGCTTGACCTTTGATGGCTGGTCTCGGTCGATATTCGATCGCGTACTGGGTTAGCATTAACGCCCACTTGACTAGGCGACCAGATGATGAAGCAGTTCAGAGGACTGGCCCGATCGGCTGATCGGTTAACACGCGAATCGCTCGACCTTGGAAATAGGGAGCCAACTTCTTCGCGGCAATGTACAAGGCATAGACGACCTTCTCCAACTGGGAGTACCAGAGCTCGGGACCATGTAGCGCGTGGCTTACATAGTACACCGGTCGCTGGACCCCTTCCGGATCGGTTCGGCACAATACTGCGCTTACTGCACGATCGGACACGGCGAGGTACACGTCTAGCTCTTCTCCGAGCTCGGGCTTTGAGAGCACGATTGGTGACATGAGGTACTCTTTCAGCTCGTCAAAAGCCGCTCGGCAATCGTCGTCCCAGACGAATCCATTCACTTTACACAATACCTTGTGCAAGGCCGTAAACTCACCAGGCCTGGTGCGGGATCGGGGATGGTCATCACCGGTCGGTGTTCCGCCCGGCCGGCCGGTTTACGGGATGAAGACCCGACCTCCTGCGAGCGCTTTACGGCATTCGCCTCGCCGGCGTTGGCATAGTCCGTGACCCTTCGAAGGGCCTCCTCATACGTGGCCGGGGGTGGAGAATGAAGTCTTGATACAAATAACCCGCCCGGAGGGAGATGTGTAGCATGTGGGTGGCGGTCGCATCATCCATGGGCTCGACTTCCCCGACCGCCGCCTTCCACTTGACGAGGAAATCGGTCAAGCTCTCCCCTTCAAGCTGCTTGGCCTTCTCCAAGTACATGTAGGGCTTCTTCAACACCTTGGAGGTGATGAATTTCCTCACGAACTTGATCGCCAAGGCATCAAAATTTGCAATTGAGCCCGGCTGCAAAGTCCGGAACCACTCCGCCGCCCGACCGGTGAGCGTAGAATAAAAAGACCTACACATCACGGCGTCTGATACGCCCTTTAGCATCATGTTTCCGTAGAAATCATTAACATGGACATCAGGGTCCGTACGGCCATCGTAACCTTTTTCCCCGGAGACCTTCAAATCAAGCGGGTAGGGCTGAGCCATTACCTCAGCAGTGAAAGACGTCCTGAGTAGGGACGATTGGTCGACCGGGGGTATTGCAGGGTGCGCATTCCTGAATTGCGCAAACTCCGCCTGGAGGTTATAAAGCAATCCTCGGGTCTCGTTGAGCTCGGCGGCTTGGGCAGCTTGGGCTGCGTCCCGAGCGCGTCGTCGTCGATGAGATCTCGACCCGCTATGCCCGGATGAAGCCTCTTGGCTGGCTTCTTGCATCTGTACGTCTTCCGGCTGCCGGTTCGGGTCTTGAGGCCCCAAACGTTGTCGCATCGCCGGTCGAAGACGATCAAAAGCTACCGCTCAGGCAACTTCTTCGGAGTCCTCCGCTCGGGCAGGAACCTCCGCTGCTTGTTGGGCCTGCCATGGTGCCTCCATCGCATCAGCACCCCCCGACCCCAACCGCGAACAAGCCGAGCGTCGAGCCCGGGAAGCGGGCTGATGCTGCGGCTCTACTTGTGCGGCCGGGTAAACTGGAAGGGCGGCGGCTGGAGCCGTGTACACAGGCGTGTAAGGTGGATAACCAACCGGGGGCGTGTAATACATCGGTTGGCCTGGCCAATACCCGTACGGTTGAGATGGGACCGGGTATGGATACTGACCGGGATACATCACCGGCTGCTGCTGATATTGTTGACCGGGTGTTGGGTACCCCGGCTGGATGTAGTTCACCGGCTGTTGGGCGGCCGGGTATGTGTTGGATGGATGTGGTGGTGAGAGATTGAGGTTGAGATCCATTGTCGGACCTTGTTGTTGCGTTGCCTGATGGTCGGATGAACTCGCTGCATCCGCCTGGTCGTCGGCGAAGAGGTTCTGTGCCCACGGATACATGGTTGATGAGTGATCGGGTGCTCGTCAAGACAGTAGCTTTCTTGCACGGGTCCCCACAGACGGCGCCAAAATGATACGGGTAATTGCCACGTAAGCAGTAATTAAGTAAATACGAGACCAATTAAAGCAAGTAAATGTCTTTTATTGATCACGGTGAAGGCCCTAAGTACAATCTACTTGGTTGCTCTGAGTACCGACTGACTGCGGTCGGGAATCTCTAACAACAACCTATCGATCGTCCAAAAGTCCCCCACACTGCAGCTATCGCGGGTATTTATAGCCGCAGCGCCGGAGACACAAATCCGGTCGTTCGGCATGCCCCCCACGTAGCAACCGCGTGTCATCCTCCCGGGTGCCCTGCCTGTCGTCGCGTGGAGCCGCTACGTGTCCTTCGTCAGCTCTCTCGCCTAAGGGCTACCGCTCGGTGGTCGACACTGCCGCTCGGGTAATTCCCGGTCGTGTTCCGACCAGGTCTTCCATAAGAAACCCGACCTGCTACCTGCAAAGACAAGTAGAAAAGGACGAAGGCACACAGGTCGGGGTAAAGCTATGTCGGTCGGGATATTCCCTACCAGGTTGCAATTAAGTCTTTAAACAAGTTATTTTAAAGCATTGAGACCCAAAAATCAGTTGGGTTCCAACAAACCTCTGACCATATTCCGCCTAAAAACATCGGCGAAACGATCGCCAGTGTTGGTCGGTCGCCTTCTCCAACGAAGGAGAAGGCATACCAAACTATTAGGTTTGCCTTCTCCTTCGCTGGCGACCGTTTCATTTGTGTTTTTGGCCGGAATATGGTCGGAGGCCCGTCAGAGGTTAGTCGAAACCTAGTGACATGTAATTATAGGTCACAAATCGATTTTTGGACCTCATGCTCTAAAATATTCCCTCCGTCCCATTTTATATGTCTGGTTCGGTTAACGAGGCTTGACTGAAATTATTTTAAATTCAATTTTTCATGATGTTACGTTTAGTACCAGTATACAAAAATTATATATTTAGAAACTACATTAAAAGTACTATTAAATATAAAAAAAAATTAAATTTAAAAAAAAAAGTAAGAATACTAAAGAAAATTAACAAAGAAGAAAGAGTTTGTTTGACAAATGAATAATAAGTATGACAGATAAAATGAGACACTGAGAGTAACATGTTTAACGACTTAATTATAACTTTTAAAAGTTTAAGAGTCTATTTATTGAGTAAAATTTAGAAAAAAATTTTTTAGTAAAATTTAGGACCTATTTAAACATTTTTCCTATTAAAAATGAACATTTATTCATGACCCAAAGTATAATTCCCTCATCCGGCCATCAGGCCGCTTACCGGTTCATCCGAACCGGCGCGTGTAAGGCTTTGCTTTCCTCCTCTGCAAGAAAATATTCCCGATCAGTCTATAAATTACAGGAATCGCGAATCATCATCGGCATCGGAAAAGAATTAAGCACTTACAAATTGAGCAATTTGAATTCATTGACGACGAGGAATGGAGCGCAAGGAGGATGAAATCAAGCAGAAACTCCAAGAATTGCAGAGACAGTTGGGGAAGAAGCAATCGTTCGAGGAAGCTGTTTCTTCAATCAGATCTCTGCTCCTTCAATACTACCCTTCTGCCTCCCCTTCTCTTCAAAAATCGGTATGTCTCTCTTCTTTACCTGGATCAATTTCATTTTTTGATTATTCTTTACGGAATTTTATTTTTGTCCATGGACACAGTTTAATGGAGTTTTAAAATTTTCATTACCAATAACTACTCTGAATTCACTAAATACCAATTGAGCTTTGAAATATATATTTTTATGCCGTCGTGATTTATTGAAGTGTTTCTCTTGAAGTTAAGGGAAGTATAGATGAAAAGAAAGTAGATTTCTTGGACAAGGTTTCTGGCTGGCTGAGAGCATCTTTTATTATTCTATTATACAAGGCAAAACCGCAATCTAGCATACACATATTGCACATACCTTTGAGCATGATCAGTTGTTGTAAAGAGTTTGTTGTGTTCTATTTGGAGTTGGTTCCACATATATCCACAGTTATCTAACAGAATTTGCTTTTGCTAACATGTAGCAGATATTTGCTAAACAAGCATTGAGGATTTGAGGCACTTAATGCTTCTAATGTTGCACTCGATTAATCTTGATTCCTGGTTTGCTTAATTGCAAGAAAATGTTAGTGTATAACTAGTTACACATCCATTGATTTCAAAGTCCTAGAGGCTATTATATTTAGGTGTAGTCTTTTCACTTCACAATATGATTGACCTTGTTAGAACATTTGTTGACATGAAAGTTTGTCATTGCTTTCTCTCCTTGCTTAACAATCTAAATGCTCAGTTCTGTTCTGTTGTATCTTGGCAATTTGATTCACCCTCTGATTTTGAGAACTATAGTTGACTTACGGTATTAGTTGCTACCATGCAAAATTCTTGCAGTTCTATTCTGTTGTATGCCGTGTTGCAACAATTTTAAAGACAAGATATACAGCACCTGGGTTTTGGCGTGCTGGACTACAGCTTTTCCTTGATACCGAACGCCTAGTGTTGGAGTCTTCTGAGAGGAAAAAATTGCAGGACTGCATTGCTCAAGCACAAGATCACCTGAGCGAAATAGAGAATCAGCCTGAGAACTCAACATCTACAGAAAATCGGCCAAGAGGTTGAATTATATCTCATTGATGATTTCTTTGAGAACAATAACACCACTATTTTTGGTTCATTCTAAAGTTCTATTTTTTCAGGATTTCTGTTTGAGGGCCATCTAACTGTTGACCCTGAACCTGCACAACCTGATTGGCTTGTAATGTCAAACCTTCTAAGTGCTGCTGCTACATTGCCTGCTGAACAATCTTCTCAAGAGGATCCAGCCAGCAGTAACTCATCAGAAGCTGCTGCCAACCTACTTCGGGAGCTGGCTGATAGACTTGATGACATTGTCCCAATGGTATGTTGCTCTGTACCTTGTCCAATAGCACTTATAATTATCTCTATGTTTAGAACCTCCAATCTTATAGTCAATGAACTTGCATTGTATTATTTTGGACTTACCAGGACTCTGTCCTCCCCTTGTGGACTTTTGCATTTAAGATTGCAAGACATGATATTCCAAATTGAGTTTCTGGTGCTTGTTCTAAGATTTATTTATTTTTAGAACCCTTAATACTTCATTGCTAAAACCTAAAAGATAGTTGATATTTGTCCAGCCAGAACTTGATTCACAAACATAATGACGTGCATGGTTGCACACACATGCAGGGTCCATAAAAAGGGACAATTGGATAATCAGATTTTGGTTAATGGTACATCAAAAAAGAAGTGGCATTCAATGCAACCTCAAGACAATAATAGTACATGAATGTAGTCTTCTTATTGGCATAGGCCTTCTTTTCACAAGTATTTAGATCCATATTGAAATGAGGCTGATGTGAGTATGTGACTGATGGCCATTTTTCATAAGTGGTTAGATCCATACTGAATATGCTGAAGTGCTTTCTTTGAGGATAGTCTCATATAAAATGATTTATTTATGAGTTAATACCATCTAGAGTCCTCCGAGAATAGTGATTTTGCCACGTTTAGTCCTAAACTTTCAAATTACCACCCATGGTTCTTCGACTTTCAAATTGCTACCATGTGTGGTCCAACTTAACCACACATGGTCCTTCAACTATCAAATTTTAACCACTCATGGTCCTTCAACTATCAAATTTTAACCACTCATGGTCCTTCCAAGAGGGCAAGAGGACCGCGTCTGGTTAAATTTTGAAAGTTGAAGGATCATGGGTGGTTAACTTGGACTACGGATGGTAACAATTTGAAAGTCGAAGGACCATGGGTGGTAATTTGAAAGTTTAGGACTAAAGTGGCAAAACCACTATACTCTGAGGACCCTAGATGGTATTAACTCATTTATTTATTTTGTTACAGTTTGAGTACCATTTTCCTGAAAAATAAAAAACATAAAAGAGACAACTCAAGGGAAAAGTTATAACTGGTTATTGTTATGGCAAAATCACTGGTTCCTGCATCTATATAGCAGTAGCACATCAGGGAAATGAATTTTCATCAATGCTGCCTTAATTTGATGGAAAAGGGAAACCAAAAGAGAGAACAGATCAACAAACTTCTTTTCAAAGAACAATATAGGTTTTTAATATTAATGTGGCTCTGAATTTCTTACTTCAGATTTTGGACGATGCTCCTGCTGCCCCTAGAGTACCGCCTGCCAGCAAAGAGGTGGTGGCAAAGCTTCCAGTTACTACTGTTACTGATGAATTCTTGGCAAAGCTAGACGCAGATGCTGAATGTGCCATCTGTAAGGAGAATTTGGTTCTTAATGATAAGATGCAAGAACTGCCTTGCAAGCATATGTTTCACCCTCCTTGCCTGAAGCCCTGGTTGGTAAGGAAATTTACAGCTATTATCATTCACATAAAACCATATAACTTTTACTCTATACAAAAGCGTTTCTTCTCCAATGTGATGCCATTGCCGCATCGACTCATTTTTATTCTTGAATGATGAATATTCTTTTGATAGGATGAGCACAATTCTTGTCCAATCTGCCGGCATGAGTTGCAAACTGATGATCATAAGTATGAAAGTTGGAAGGAAAGGGAAAGGGAGGCGGAGGAAGAGAGGAAAGGAGCTGCAAATGCAGTTCGTGAGGGCGAATATATGTATGTTTAGATGTAAAATAGTCTGTTCAGACAATATATATTTGGTTTACTGTTTGTTAAACTTTATCTAGATTGATGATCTCCTTGTATAAGTTTCTTCCTTGTTTTTCTTTTTGTGGCCATTACTTATAATTTCTGTGCAGCACTTGCTTAAGGCTATCACAATTCTAAATTGTTTTGTCCTAAAAAGCACATTATTTTATCAAAAATACATAAATACTGATATGTGCTAAATACGTGTGTCCCTAAATATAAATGATATAATTATTATAAGTACTAGTTTTTTACGCGCGATTGGGATAATGCCCAATATTTTTTTTTTAAAAAAAAATAAATATTTTAAAGTATATCAAGACAAGATTATATTGGAATTATTCATGCATAGATAATTAAATGTTAAAAGGCAATTTTAAGTTTACAAATGCAAGATAATATAATCAAGATTGATTACAATTGTCAATAAAATAATTGTATATGTATGGTTGAAACTAAATATGGGATATAAGGGAGAGCAAATAAAAATTAGGATATAAAATATTAAATATATAATAATATTGAAAAGCTAATTGCTTATTGTCAAACAAGAACATTACGAGATAATGAGAATTTGTTGTGTGATTTGAATACTCTTTTTGTCAATAAATACCCCAAGTAGTTAATATGATTTGCTTAATTATATATTTTTTTTATTTTTTAAAAACAATTATTATTATTATTATTATTATTATTATTATTATTATTATTATTATTGTTATTATTGTTATTATTATTATACTCTTAGGTCATTTTACCAACCGTTTGATATAATTCGCTAGTCAAATTCACTAATATAATTCGCTAACCGCTAACTGTTGATTGTCAAACAAGGACATTGCGAAATAGTTCTCACTTCAATTTGTTGTGTGATTTGAAAACTCTCTTTGTCAACAAATCATTCAAATAGTTAATATGATTGACTTTATTAATTATATTTATTTAATTTTTTCATGGTATTAATAAAATACTTGGTAAATAAATATATAACATTATTTTGTATTATAATTTTAATATTTAATTAAAAAATAGTGCACAAAAAGGATAATAGACAATGTAGTGAATATAATCAATTGATGAATTTGAATGTAAAGAATTTTTACATTGAAAAAATATAAAGACAATATAACTAATAAAATTATTTCTCTTAATTAATTTATTGATAATGAATAATTTTTTTTTAATAAAGACATTGTAGGGAGAATGTAGCGAATATAATCAATGGATGAATTTGAATGTAAAAAATTTTAATATTGGAGAAAAATAAATACAATATAACTAATGAAATTATTTCTTTTATTTAATTTATTGATAATGAATAATTTTTTGTTGAATAAAGACATTGTAAATACATAATTAAGATATAATAAATTTCTTGATGTTCAAGAAGTGTGCACTGTGAATGTAGATTTTGGTTTTAAGCCCCAATAAAATATCGTCCTTGAGTTTTGGGGGAGTAGCGCCATAGCTATGCTAGCTCGGGTGTGTCAACAAGGAAAATGATCCATCACTGCACACACAATTATGGGGCAAATTATATATCTTTTGTATCTTTAATTAACTATTTTTTTTTAAAAAAAAAAAAATCCATTTCTCGTTTCTGTCGTTAATTTTTAAAAAAAATAAAAAATTTCATGTTTTATATGTATAGAATTGTATAGTAGAATACACATAAATTTTTAACATAATACACATAATTTAACATAATACACATAAACTCTTAACATAATATACATAAACTCTTAACATAATATCCATAAACTCTTAATATAATACACATGAACTCTTAACATAATACACATAAACACAAGTGTTAAAAAAAAAAAAAAAAAAAAATTGTGACGGGATCGGACCAAACAGTGTCCGTCGCATCAACTCCCCACTAACTTATAGAAACGTCGTTGTTTTGGATCAGGTATAACAATCCCAATTATGGATAGATCATTGGATCACGTGGCCCCTCACTCTGGCCCAATAAGATGATGAAAGACCGAAAAAGATAGTAGAGGGGTAAATCACAATTATTCAGCAGCCTCTTAAATGGGAGGATTCATGCCTGGTGTCCACAATGAGTCCACCACACTCGGTATAAATTCACTCACTGCTATCTAGTTACAATCTTACATCTTGCCCACAATCTACCATCACAATTGCCCGTTCAGACTTTAACTAGTTGAGCTATCACGCAATCTAGTAGCTTTACTAGCAAGTGGAGGTTGAAGATGACCCCAAAAAAAAAAAAAAAAAAAAACAAAAATCAGCATGCAAGATTTTAGAAGAAGGAAATGGGGAGAAAGAAAAAGAGAAAAAGTGGTATCCTTGTGAGTGTGTTAATAGCAGTCTTTGAAGTAGCATACGCAAGGCCTCCTGGAACCTGCCCACGGTTAAGTCGAAACGTTATGCTCTGGACTTATCTCTTTTTTTTTTTTTTTTTTTTTTTTTTTTTTTTTTTTTTTTTTTCAGATTCGTTATAGGAGTATATGTTCATAATTTTATTACTAAATGTTCATAATTGTAAGTTCATAATGTCAGAGCTCTATATTCATAATTCAATAACTGTACATTCATACTTCCATAACTGTACATTCATAATTCCGTAACTGTACATTCATAATTCAATAACTGTAACTTAATAATTTTCGAAGCTCTATGTTCATAATTTTATCACTATATGTTCATATTGTAAGTTCATAATGTCAGAGCTCTGTGTTCATAATTCCATAACTGTATATTCATAATTGCATAATTGTACATTCATAATTGCATAACTGTACATTCATAATTCCGTAACTGTACATTCATAATTCAATAACTGTAAAATCATAATTTTCGAAGCTCCATGTTCACAATTTTAGAGCTCTATGTTCATAATTGTAAGTTAATAATGTCTGAATTCTGTATTTATAATCCCATAACTGTACATTCATAATGGCACAAACGAATAACGTCGTTAACGGCAAGACAAAATCAAAAAAAAATTTTAATAACTGGAATGACGCGTTTTTCTTAAAAACGACGTTGTTTTAGACTCGTGTCCACAATGCATTGTGGACACGGGTCCAGGGCATAATTTGCCCGGTTAAGCCCACCAAAACATTATTACGCCTTATCTTGAAACTATTGCCCTATCAAAACTAACAGTTTGGTTTCACAGATATTTTGCAATTCATAGTTTTATATAATAAAGTTTTTATCTGCATAAGCAATTCAATTTATTCCTGAATAGTAGATTGTGAACAATAACATAAGATTGAACTAACAATCCAGTGTGGAAGTTATACTAATATAATAATAGGCAATTGATCCTCTCACCTAATAGGACTAAGATATCTTAATTTACTCTCAATTATCTGTTGAGTTATGGTGTACTACAAATTTCGAAAATAAAGTAAGATTTCATGAAAGTTTAAATATGCATATGTGGGTAAACCACATTATTGTTTGCCATTAACTTCGCTGGAATCCCGTTATTTAGGAATAAGAGTTAAATAAGTCATTGAATTACACACAATAATATAATTAGGTCACTAAATTTAAAAACATAACAATTAAGTCCGGGTTGGACTTCCATTTGGAAGATTATGAGTTCGAGCCTCAATGGAGGCGTTATTGGTTCTTTGTGTTTCAGTTGGTTGAGAAAGTATATGAACAGATACTACAATGTAATAGAACCAATAGCTTTCAAAAAAAAAAAAAAAAAAAAAAAGTCCCTAAACTAATCTGTAAATTTTGTAAATTGGACTAATTGCACTGGGAATTTATATACAGAATTTGTTTTTTTTTTTTTTAAATAAAACTAAATGCAAGCCTTTATCTGTCCCTTATCATGGCGGTGGGAAACAAATCCAACTGTAATTCCATTAATGCAGTTATGGAGATAATAATTATTTATTTAATTAATTAATTAAATTTCTTGAAACCACAGTTGAATCGGATCGTGGAATTACCTCTAATGCGGGCATTGTTAATCAGTGCGTCGATCCGCCCAAGCCCTCTGAACGGCCGCCTCAATGGCCGGACCATCCGCGCTGACATCGAGCTCAATAGCCACTGCCCGGAGCGGCGTACCGGAGCTCGACTCGCCGGAACCGACTCCATTGATCTCGTCGCAGAGCGACGTGAGCCGGTCGACACGGCGCGTGGCGGCGATGACTCTGCAGCCGGCATTGGCCAAGTCGAGGCTGATCTCTTTGCCGACCCCCGACGACGCTCGGGTCACCATCGCCACCTCTCCGGTTAGGTCCCGCCACGGCTCCAGGTTGGCGCGCCACTTTCACACGGCTCTCCATTTTGCTTTGCGGTGAGCAGGAGACGCAGAGGCATTTAATAGGGCATGGAGAGTGGAGGCCAGGAAGATGCTGCAAATTTAAATACTTGAAAATTACAATAATCACCCAACACCTCAACATAAACTCACTGGGTGGGATTAACTATGGAGGACAATATTGTCATTGCAAAAAGTAACGTGAAATTGGTGACAAAGTGAATGGGCAAAATCCAATTATATCATCGCTTAAGTAATTTTTGTTGTTGTAAAGTTTGATGTCATTAGCTTATTAGCTCTTAACCTATGGTAATAATGAGACTCAATCCCATAACTTTTCATATGAGAGAGCAATTTGGTATCATTAGACCACAAGATTTTTAACCACTACTACTTTTAATTATGTTAAAATGATTATTTTTATACAAATAGTCGATTTAAGTCTAATTACAATTTTTTAATATATAAAGAGAAAAATCAAATAAAAACGTTACATAAATTATGGTCAAGCTAAACTCATGCAATTAATTGTCAAAAGTGAACGGATAGCATTAGGTGAGTGATAAGCTAAGAAATATAGAGATCCAACTATAGATTATCAAAAATTATAGTAATCTAATTTGTTATATAAAATTTAGCTCAATTGTCATTAATCAATTAAAAATATTGCATATTATTTGTTGATAAAATTTTGCAACATTGAGAATGCACTTGATTGCTACTATAAATTAAATAAACAAATGTTATAGCTAGCATTTTTTATAAATAAAGTGAGAGCAATGCTACACACCGACCCCTCCTAATTTTTCTTCATGTGACACTATCTAATTGGATTTTTTAGTATTTGATTAAAAGCATATGAAGTTAATACATCATAAGAA